TCCGTGCTGGACTTGAACCTGCGACCCTGCAGTCCCTACAGACTGAGCTCCTGCAGTGTCTTATGGAGAATGCTGTTGATTGAGCCCTGACACAGTGAGCCTGTGGTCAGGTAAAGACTAATATAGTCAAAAGGGACAAATCTGCCTCTCATTGTGTACAACAACAATAATAATATTTAGAGGGTAAAAAACTAGAAAGTGTCAATATCAGGATCATCTTTATGAGTATTGTAATTATACAGACAAATAATACAATATCATGCAAAAAAACTGACTGGGGTTTTATTTGTGGCTGTAAATCTACACGCAGACAAATGTTGCCCATGTCTGTCTGAACATTTTTATTAGATTTAAATAAGATTTATAGATCAAAGGTTTGAAAATCATATACAAAACTTGCAGTGAATGAAGGTATATTTTATTTTATTTTATGATGGAATATGTAATTTCTGGTACTTTTACTGTATTTATTTTGTATTATTTGTTACTTTATCTATTATTAAGGGTCCATACTCAGCAGTAGTTGCACAGAAACCATCTAATATCTTTACTGTATTTTTACATCCATTTTAATACAATTTATCACATGTGTTGTTGACCTCAAGTTGACCATAGAAAGTAAATTTCACTTCTCTAATATGTAGGGATGTGAAGTGGGGACATATTTCCCTTTATCCCAGCCACTTCCTGCACTGTCCACATTGATCTGCTCTTAATACCACGATAACCCTTTAGATTACATCCTCCATTCACTCAGTGTGCAGATTAATCAAATCATATGAACCTTTGTAAACGACCATGCCACTTGGTTTTTTAGCCGTTTTGTTGCAAACCACAAGCTGATCATTTCACAAAAACTAAAATACTAAAAAAATAGTAAGTAGAGTACATTGAGGTCAGATGAACCTTAAGCCTCAACATCTTCATAAGTTTTGAACACATTTGAAAACAGTTTTAATGCCGCCTTTGAATGATTTGTGTATAAATAATAAATGTTTTATGTAACTTTAAGGATTTGTTCATATGAGTTTTGTTACAGCGTGTTATTATTTAACTGTTTATACACCAGTTATGGATGCTTCATAGGTGAGGTGATAATTGCTAATAAATACAGTAGCAAGTAAAATAAATTATGTAATAAATAATAAAATATATTCTTATGTCTGCTTAAAACTACCTACATTGTAGTGTGTCATTAAGTGTTTATAAATCTGTAAAAAGGAGGGTTAAAGTAAAGTTGTGTACACATCACAGTGAACATCAAGCCTGCATTCATTTTAGTAAATTACAATTATAATGCAAGACAGTATTTTGAAATCAATCTGCCCTTCAGCTGCACTGCCCTACAATGAGAGCGTAACTCAGACTTGTCCTTTAATGTGGTTAATTACACAACTCCTTAGCACTCGATTGCCAGCCGGTTAATGGTCACGTTCACTGCATGCTTTTGGTAATTTGATTGACTCCACTAATGTACTGAAGCAGGTCCTGCATTAGACATGGCTCTGTCTGAAATACTCTTATGATCTTAGTTTAAATTGTGCTCACATGCACATTTTCATAAATACAAGTCATAAACAAAAACAACAACACACTGAAAACATGCTGCCATTGTTGCAGCAGTATTAGTTGGTCTCTGGGTTTATAATGAGAGTGCCACAGTTTACTGTGACATACAGCGTAAATACACAACACGCATAATTAAAACCATTAGTCCATAATAATGCTTGAACTTACTTACTTTCTCCTTTTTTTTTACTGGGATTTACACGTGTACACTGGTATTTATGGCAGGAAAGAGGTTTTGTCTTGTTTTTTAAACTAAAAAGTTATAACGTGTGTAAAAAGTTTTAATCAAAATGTTCTTATTAACTATTAAATAGGCTATAAATTATCCAGGCCATTCAAGTTACTGCAAAAACCATGAATTTCATGCATTAAGCATTTAGTATGACTTTATTATAGACAGATTTTCTCTCAGCTCCCCTGACTGACTTCCTTCAGGGCCCCTCAACAAGTTAATCTGACCATGCAAGTCTTAATTTTCATACCATACAGAACTGGTTGGAAAGAAATCCTGAACCGGCACCTGAACAATAGAAAAAATAGATACAAATATATGAAACCCTACAACTGTAAATTAATTGTGATTACATACAGTAAATTCACTGGTGTGGTTCTTTAATGGACCATGCAAGTGAACTGCTGCCTTTATATTGGTTATAGTAGTGGTGCTCACTTACAGACGATAACTATAACTACTATAGTTTAAGTTATCCCTTAAACTATGATAACAAATAACATCCTGCTGCAGATTTAAATAATAATCAGTGTAATGAAATGTGTAATCATTTCAATATGTTGACAGTGTTCATACTTTATTCAGTGTACTTGAAGAAACATTCCCCTCATTGTTTTACTTTGTATTTATTGAATTAAAGAATTCATCAAAAATGTAATAATGTCATTATATAATAATAATAAATCAGTCACAGAAGCCATTTTTCTGAGTAATTTTTACTTTGTTGATAACACTCTCTCATCCACATCCCAAATGCAGCCACTGGCAGTTTCCTGTCTTATTAGAGCGTCTCATGCTCATATGATTTCAACTCTGATGTGGACGTTTTCATACGGGTCGATGCCTTCTTGCATTGTGCTTTTGTACATGATTACAATGTCCTGATTTGGGGAGGAAAATTATTGTTTTTTATGTTGCTATGAAGTTGCCTATGTAGATGGAATAAAATTACAGATTCGTTGGAGACCGTTATGTGGAATCATAAACAAATATATACAATAATACACACTTATCAATAAGAACATTTTAAATAGGAGGTTGCTGACCCCTGGTCTAGTATCTCTTTTCCCTAACTAGAGATCTTGGTTCTCTCTCACACTACAAATGGTTAAACTAAAGCATTCAGTCAGCCACAGGCTTAACATAAAGTCTATGACAGGCTGAATACTTTACCACAGCTGACTTGTTGGCCCAAGCAGGATTGCATCATTGTCCAGAATCAAGCTTAAATCTGAAACCTTCTGCCAAAGCCGCTGAATGAAACACTGTCTTGTTGCCATGGTCACATTTCTCCTAACAGACTGCAAGGTTTCAAATTCATCATATTTTAAAATAAAAACCTCAGTTAGAGCTCCAGTTTCTCTTCACACCTCTGACCTTTAACCCCTCTGTAACAGCTCAGACCACAGCAAGTTAAAGCAACAGGATCATTATCTGTTCAATTACATTCATCATCTTTTGATTTTTTGAGTTTTATTATTATAGAGTTACATATTAGCAATAATTCTTTTGATGAACACATGCAGTGTTATTGTCAGTGCAACACTGCAGCCTGCAGGTCAAACTGAGAGCAACACCAGATGTGAATACACAGCTCAACATAACTTTCTAAGAAGGTCAAATTTTGACCTTCCTAGAAATGATCTACTGCAATTAACTAATTAAATTAAATTGAATCTAATCTAATCTATCTTTCACGGTATCATGGATCAATTAATAGTCTATGTTTTTCTGTCTTTGTATGTTATATTTTGTTATTATTTAAACCCTTTTTGTTGTAAAGCCCCCTCCATATCATATTCATCTCTCATGGGCAGGTTTAATGAAAGGGAACACAGATCAATGATTGGCCCTCTGGCAACATGTGACCTATAACTGTTGACTTATTACCTGGAAGAGTCAACTTCTCCATAGCTGGGAGTTGACCGCGAAGGTTAGGCGGGCTCTTGCTCTTGGACAGAGAGCATCAATTTCAGATTTTTAATGGTTGGACATTTTAATCCTCTTTCTGCAATGATGACTAAAAAGCAGTTTGGATGGCGAAAGCTATTTCTGATCCTCACAGGTAAGGCTTTATGAGTGTATTCTTTCTGTTTTCTATAAACCACTGCCACACCTTATGGTATTATCACCACTGTTAATCATTAATCCAACTTCTTGCTACTTAACTGGAAGCAGGATTGTGTTTCAGAGGCCTGTAGGTGAAACCATTTATTCCATTTGCTTTAAAAAAAAGCATATTTATTATTATTTAGTAAATAATACATACTGATTTGTCTCTTTCCCCCAAATACCAAACTACAGAAGTAGATGTCTGAGAAACACATTAATTGGCTGTTCTTAATTCCCTTTTTTTTATTTCAGTACTTCCCTGCTGCAGGAGTGTGGAGGTTTCTATTCCACAGAAAAATTATGAGGTTGTAAGCGGAGATGATATTACCATGACCTGTTCCTTCGTCCCAGCCAGAACAGACTACAGCAACCTCGTCCTCACGTGGGAGGCTTACCCTGTTAAACCTGGTGATACAATTGTGAGAGGTTAAACTAGCTGCATGCACAACATGTGGTCAGAACATCTTAACACAGCGTATTGTGGTGAACCACCTAAAGGGGAACTTCACGGATTTTACACATAGATATCGGTTTATAGGGCAGGCTTTGAGACTACATAACTAAAACAGAAATGTAGGACTGGGCATTGTTTTAGTTCTTTGACACGATTTTTTAAATCTCTTGCAAGTCCCCCACCTTTATGGTAGTAGCATACTAAATTACTGTAGTACCCTTTTAATAAACAACATCCCATCAGCAACAAATGCTTACAAGCTATTTATTTACATTTATTTAAGCCTCAAGTTGGTTGATTCAGGTTAATATTGACATTATTATTATTATTATTATTATTATATATTATTATTATAAATTTCATTGAATGAGGCATTCATTATTTCATATTAATGTACTGAGGTTTATTAATTTCTTCAAATATTTAAAAAATTGTTTTGGGGTATTTGGGCATTGATTATACTGTCATTCTGACCATGTTGAATATTGAGAGCTTATTATTATGATATTATATCGAGCAGATATTTAATCTGTAAAATCTGTTTTTCTTTATTTCTTCAGAAATCAGTGGCCACCTACTTTTTAAACAGTGTGGTTAACATTCCGCCTGCTTATGAAGGCAGAGCCTTTATGGAGGTTGACCTTCACCAAAAAGTGAGCACACTCCGCCTAACGAAGGTGACCATGCAGGACAGCCGCAGTTACCAATGCAGTGTTAAGATCCCTGATGATGACGAGGGAACACCAGCTGCCACCACTTCCCTTTTGGTCCTGGGTGAGAATAAACTACTGACAGTTTAATGTATCTGTCTCTTGTGAATACATGTATTTATATGTTGTCTCCATAAAGATGTAAAATCAATAAACATTATTTTACAGCTCTCTTGTAATACATTACTGTAACTTTTTATGTTAAATTCTTTGTTTTCTTGCAGTGCCTCCCTCTCCACCCGTCTGTAGCATTCAGGGAAAAGCAGAGTACTGGGAAAATATCAACCTCACCTGCAAGTCTGAGGAGGGGTCCCCAACACCTGTGCCTGTGTGGAAGAGCTACAGCGTCAATAACATTCCCAGGCAATTTCCAGTGAAGACAACCGAAAGTATGCACTTCAACCACCCTGTGTTACAGGGAGTTATCATCAGCGTTAATGTAAAGGATGGCCCATCATTAACCCCCAGCATTGTTAATTTAATGTGTGTCATTATGTTGCAGAGGATGGAGTTCTGTCTCTCTTCAATATTTCAAGAGAAATGTCTGGGTTCTTCATTTGCACGTCAACAAATCGAGTTGGTTCTGCCAGCTGCAACCTTACCTTAGCTGTGATGCCACGTAAGTGTTTTAACATGATTTACTGATCACCTATTAACATGATTTACCTGCTCGCCTGGTTGTGATGAACCCACAGAGAATCAGTCCTGCTGTTCCCGTCGGATCCTCTACACCAGTGGTTCTCAACCTCTTCATAGGTTTCACACGCTTCACTGTTATGGACACAGTGTTTCAACCACCTCATGCAGCTAACTATAATTAGCTTCCTAGTTACAATAAAAAATACTAGCATAGTTTTCATTTCAGCCTGTGCAATCGGCAGTCATGGACTACAATTCAGAAAACTTATTTTGTCTACTTCTGTGTGAAATCAAGGATCCATTGTTATTGGTAAATCAGTGTAAACGGTATATGTCCCATGCAAGAAAGGACAAAGCTTAAATTTGGAAGTTCAAAGTGATTAATGAAGCTGTGAAACCTGGTTAAAAGAGGACATTAGCCTGGGACTAAGAATAGAGTAAAAAAACGCTCGTCTTTTCTCTTGTCTCCCTAGCCAGCATGATGAACATTGGGTCCACGGCTGGTATAATTGGAGGAGTCCTCGCAGGTCTCGTATTTCTGGGGATTCTCATTTTCTGTTGCTGCCGGAAAAAGGGCAAGGATGCTGAAGGGTATGTATGGTATACCTTTATGTGAACCACCATCAATATGTTAGTGTATTGATTGTTAGTGGCTAAGTGGTGTTGTGGTTCTGTCTTTTGTATATTTTGTTAGTGCCCCTGGAGAAGTGTTTTATGACAGAGATGCTCCTGAAGCTGAAGAGGAGTACTGTGACGACAAGGCAGCCAGCGAGAAACAGCAACCCTACCAGAAAGAGTACACTGACGTTGTTCCTCAGAGTAATTACAGTGTAGGAACAGCTGGACACAAGATTGAGGATGATCAGCACAGTTATAACAGTGGTAAAGAAAGGCATGGTGGCAAGGGCAGTGATATTGACTCTAGACGTTACCAAGACGACCAGCAGGACCACTATCATGGAAGTCGCGATCGCCTTGACGATCAACGTGATCGTTACGGTGGCAGTCGCGACCCGCCTTTGACGGACCAAACCGCGATCGTTACAGGGGGCACGCTTCGCGACCGCCCCTTGACGACGCCAAGAACGAAGATGCCGTCTATCGCGTGCATCCGACCGGCCTCTGACGACCAAGCCGCGACTCGTCTCATGGTGCAGTCGCGACGCCCTTGGACGAGCCAACGGTGGGAATCGTGTACAGGGGGCAGCTCGCGACGCGCCTTGTGACAGGGGCAGTCGCGACCGCCTTGATGACCAACGCGATCATTACGGCGGTAGTCGCGACCGTCTTGACGATCGCCGTGATCTTTACGGTGGAAGCCGGGATCGTCTGGACGACCACGGCAATCACTATCGTAGCAGCCGTGATCGTCTCGATTACATTGACGATCAATAACCCTTGTGTTACTGAATGTTGTTTTAAATCTTTTTCTTATTTGATACAATACTAAATATTTTACTGACATCGTAAAGAGACTCAGGAAAATAGATTTTTACATCCTGACAAATTCTCAAGTAAAAGCAAATAATTAAATGGGTTGTCTCTAATACAAGCCTGTCCCACATACAGGCCTGGTTCTGTCTGCTGAAGCTAAATAAAGTCCACTAGTTGAGAGTTTACTGTAGGAGGCTTATGACTACTGGTTTGTGGGTCTAACTGCCAATGTATAATCTGAGCTAACTGTACTTACAATATTTAACCTGCACAGACGATCCAGTAATTACAGTGATTCTGTTGAATTGAAGGGTACCCAGGTAGTTTAATTAAAATGTATAACAATAGTTTCATCATAAATATAGCAACGTCGTCAGTCTCTTGAACCAGAATATATTAGCCTTCTAAAATTTACAAGTACAAGAAATTTAATTTTGAAATTCTTTTTAGCTTTAATGTTGTTTCTTTGCTTTTTCTTACTTACCATGTGCCTAAATCTATAAATGTTAATAAATGTAATTTGGTCATAAGACACCACCCAATCATTAATTCATTAATACATACATATAATACAGCTCATATATTCAGGCCACCTAGCTACTACAGTAGTTTTGGGTATTGTTAAAAATATGGTGTCACCATATACAATGTGTACATTATCTTTAAGTGTATTTGTGATTAAAAGTAACGAAGTGCATCAGCTGCCTTTAGGCTACATTTACATCTTAAACCTTTCTGTGTGGTTATTGCATTTTGTCCTTTGCATGTGTTTGATTTGGGGGCAGAGAAAGTGCCAGTTTATATTGAGTGGAACTTCTTACTTGAAGTGATCATTTATAACACGTGTGCAGCTTTTTGCTCATGTTTGTATGTGATAAACGATGAATGTAAGCATTTTATTTATATGAAGCTAAATCCAAATCGAGTTCAATAAAGAAATTGGGTCAAATATTGCTGTTTGTGTGAACTAAAATTCCTCAAAACTCACAACCAAGTCTGACCTGGTTTTATCAGGGAGCTGCACCCCCCTCCTCTTCCTCCCTCCTCCTCCTCCACCTTGCAACCGAGCAGACCTCTCAACTCTACCCGGTGTCCGCTGCTGCTCCACCCGCTGCAGACTACTACTATTAGACTTCAGGAGACAAACTACAGAATTAACTCCACTGACTGTGTGTGTGGATGAGAGAGCAGCGGAGGGGCCGTCGGTGGGTCAGTGTTTGGTTGCGGACTCACCTCTGAGTGAAGTGGTACAGTCCCGTTAGTCTCCGTCTGTGAGTCCTGCTGGCAGCAGCAGCAGTTAGCGGACACCGAGAGGCACCAACATGCGGATAAACTGCACTTTACTATAAAACGGACTGTATAATGAACTTTTACCGGCTGGTTATTTTACTGGGAGCATCGGGTGAGTCTTGTTTTCTTCTCTAAAATGTGTTTTATTCACTAAAAATGTGCCATCCGTACGACAACAGCGCAACAGGTTGATCCACATAAAGTAGGCACAGCGCACTCAGACCTATCCGCCTCATGAGACTGAAGGAAAGAGCTGCTCTTTGTTTTATTTCTTATTTGGGTGAATTAAACTGGACGGATGCGCCAGAATAGTGATGTTAATCTCGGTTTTTCATTAATAATAACACATTATGGGGTGTAAGGGACAACCCTGGTAACCCTTCCGTGATTTATAGTATCCAGTATTCAGTAATAGTAGGTACCAAAGGGTTGCACAGTTAATCTAAATAAGTGCAATATCTTAAATCACAGAAGCTGCAATTGTTTGTTAAAGGTAAAATGTTTGATAAAACAGCATTATAAGGAAGTACCGAGACGCCCTGGCTTATAAATCTTGTTCTTCATATTTAAGAATAAATGTTTGTTTGGTACAACCCCCCCAAAAATGTCACATCATGATTTTAATAGTTTTTTTTTAATGTAAATTAAATTTGTAATACAGAAATGATCATTCCCACTAATAGTGAATCATATTGCAATATCGGTCATATTAAAGCAATGTGTTGTTTTTACCATATTGTACAGCTCTTGTATGACATGATAATAATGCTTTGCTGTTACAGGCCTGTATTGTAACTGTACTGTATACCACTACAGTTTACTGTATTAAAGCATAATGGCATATTTTAAAGTATTTTAATGGTACTTTAAAGGTACAATATACCAAGAAATGCAGTGATTAATCAATTAATCTATTAGTCCATTAACATAAAATGAATGTGCAACTATTTTGAGGATCGAAAACATCATTTTATTCATTTTTTAAGCAAAAATGTCAAACAGTCGCTGGTCTCAGGTTCTCAGATGTGAGGATTTGATGTGTTTCTCTGGCATTTGTAATCGTAAACTGAGTAGTTTGGCTGCTGATCAAACAGAACAAGTTATTTAAATACATCACCTTGGGCAGCATCCTATGTAGATGTTTTATAGACAGAAAGATTAATCAAGAATATAATTAGCTGATTAATAAAAAACTAGTAAACATTAGTTGCAGCCTTATACTATACTATCATTTATACCTTTTAAACTACATTAAGTGACTAAAACATGCTCATCAGGTTTTAAGAGGGCTGAAAATGTAACTGTGTTAGTGAGCAAAGCACTCTTGACAAACTTGCTTCACTTCACTTATCACAAACTTTCCTGTAAAATTGAAATGTATCATACATGGAGACTTTATTCAATCTTATCAGTGTGGGGTTTCTTTTTGTTGTTGGGCTAATGAGTCAATGTGAAGGAATGTAAGACGCAGTAAAAGCAGGAAATGTGACAGCTTTGGAGAGGAAAAGCCTGGCTGTGTAGAGGAAACGTGCAGCAGCTGAGCTTTGACCTGGAATACATTTGTGACCACACACCTTTTTTTAAAAGGTGGTGTAATCTTGAAATGAGGCCTTCAGTCTGTGTGCAGGTGGAGGAGGAGACTGTCTGCTGCCTCTCTAACCTGTCCATTAACTTACAGTGAGTCACACCTGGTGTTAACTTCATATAAACAATAGTTAACAGCCACTTTAAGACTTGTTACAATGCATCGAGCAGCTTCTGTGTTCCTCCTCTCACCTCAGACTGACGGCATTCACGGAGTAACGGTTCGGTTTAAATTTCTAGCAGTTAATTGGTCTGTTCACACCCAGCTGGACGAGGCCAGATGCTCTCATTGGTCGGGAGTCCATGACCTCCTCCCCCTCTCGGCTCCTCAAGTGGGACGGAGAGGGAGGAAGGGAGGGAGGTGAGGGGGGGATTCAGCACAGCCCTAACAATGGACTGGTCCATGAAAAAAAGAAACAAAGGGAAGACCGAAGCTCTTTCGTGGGAGGAATTTAGGAGCTCTGTCAGCCCTCCTCTCGTTCTCTTATCCTGTAAAAATAATATGGCTCAATCACCACAGATAAAGTGTAGTTTCTTATCAGGGGAAGACAAAACCTGATGATGCTCGTCTGACTGAACACAGACTCATTAACACGCTGGTGTAAAACTTGAGCTGAAACGGGTAGTCGGCAGAAAAATAATTGGCAACCATTTTGATAAATTAGTTTCAGACAATCAAAACTGTCAACTAACTGTCCAGCTTCTCAAATGGGAGGATTTACTGTTTTATATTGTTGTAAACTGAACATATTTATGATATTTGGACTGTTAGTTGGACAAAACATCTGAAGAAGTCACTTTGGACTTCACTACTTTCCACCATTTCGTAAACTAAACACTGATAACTTTAAATTCACTGAAAAAACCTCAGTTACAGACCTAATGGTGGCCTGGAAATAAGCAGACTTAAGCGTCCATCTTAGATAAATGCTACAAATGGTCCAAGGAGAGGTTGGCTGGTGGACTTGCTTTTGTTTGGATTTCCTGTTCTGGGAAATGTTTAGAGTGAGTTGCCGGCCCCACCTAGACTTAATATGACTAGTAGAAAGCACCCACGAGCGTCTGACTTCTCCATCCCCTTCCTCTGTGATGACAACCCCCTGCCTCTCCACAGGCCTCCCCAGCTCCCCCACACACACACACTGGAATTTAACCTTCATGACCTCAGTGTACTGAGCCAGAGAGGAGCCCCCTCCACACACCTAATCTCTGTTCCTGTCTCTGCTCTTGTTTTTATACTAAATATCTCCCAGGTGTAGTCCTCTGCTCTCGTGAATCATCCTCACAGACAAAGAAGAGACGCAGCTGTTTCTTCTGTGATCAAGATGGCGTCTGCGTCCTTTTCCTGACTTTAAACTGTTTTTTTGTCTCGACTCAGTTTATCAGCTGATTGTTGGTTGGACAGAAAATGCAATGTTAAGATGTCACCTTGGCCTAAAGGAAATTGTAATATCTATTGTTCACTCTAGTCTACACAATTAATTGATAATTAAAATAATTAACATATAAATGGAAGGTGAAAAAATAATTAGCTGCAGCCCTAAACTTTTCGTTTTCCCCTCTAATGGTCATACTGGGAGAGATATTCCTCTTTAGGGTGTGAAAGGAGTGAATAAACTCTCTGTGAAGGTGCCTGGTTTTGATTACTCTGGGTTAAATAGGTGAATTTTGTCAGTGCATGAAGTGTTATTGCACACATTTTTATCTCAGAGGGACATTTGCATTTGCATCTTTGTATAGTCAAATCGCGTGTGCTGGACAAAAAGCTCTTTACATTTGTGTGCATTTTCTCTAAAGAGTCCAATTTTCATTTCACTTACTGTGTATTTTGTGTGTTTTGTCTGTGTCAGTGTGCGTGTGTGATGGCGTGCATGTCACAGTGCGGGAGAAGCAGCGGTTTGCGATGCTCTTCCAGTCCGTGGTCCTCCCATGTCAGTACCAAACGGCCTCCACTCAGAACCCGGTGGTGCAGTGGTGGTACAAGTCCTATTGTCGAGACCGCACACGAGAGTCCTTCAGCCTGCCCGAGAGTCTGGGCGTCCACGCCTCTGAGCTGGGTGCCACGTCCCACCTGGAGTGCTCCGACAGCAGCCGCACAGTTCGGGTTGTGGCCTCGGCGCAGGGAAAATCCATGACGCTGGCTGAGCACTACAAAGGCAGAGACATCGCCATCATAAACAGTAATCTCATCATTTTATATCCTCTATTAAAAACTTTAGGATTAATTAAGGAGTTGCTGCAGCTGTTTGACCACTGCACTGAATCAGAGCTGACTGTGTTTCCTGTTCCCTAAATAAACCTCCGTTGTCTTTGTCTCACAATGGAGCAGAGCACTACACACACACACACGATAACAACCCCCTGCTCTCACTCCTATTCATGTATGACTTCTTGTTAAACCTCCAGCCTTATCAAGACACAACACCTGTCCTCTATCCAAATGTGTCAGCGGCACATAGCACGTCCAACAACGCTGTCATCGTTTAACACAATAACCACTTTGTTTTCATTTTTTATGGTTTTTACATGTAGCCACTATGTATTTAGTTTTTTATTGGCTTAGCAAAAACTGTGCAGATGATAAAGACACAAACAGTAAAAAGCTTAACTATGTCAGTTGCTGTAAAGTGTATGAAGTCTCAATGCGTTAAGTGTCAATGGCACAGAGTACTGATGTTTGTCAAGTACCAAAATGTCTGGTCAGGTTTAAATCTACATTTTGCCAATTTTTAACTATTTAATTTAGGCAAAATTCTTCTAGTTAAGGTGATTGTGTTTTGGTTTTGGTATTGGTACTGAAACTCAAGTACCATATCAGCAGTAGTACTGAAAATATTCAAACAAAATCTATAGTTCTAGTATTCATATATAACTACACAGGTGTCAAATGTGTTCTGCACCCAAAAAAGTGTTTTGTCTGGATTATAATTTATCAAATCTGAGTCATTATGATCAGTTTGTTGTCAAAGCCAATTGATTTGAATTCACAAACACTGACCCGACCTCTGACCTCTCAACTCTTACCTTGTTTCCTGTCTCTGTGCAGAAGCGGACCTGCGTATCGGGGAGCTGCAGTGGGGCGACAGTGGAGTGTACTTCTGCAAAGTCATCATTTCTGATGATCTGGAGGGCAAGAATGAGGCACAGCTGGAGTTACTGGTGCTCGGTATGTCCACAGTTTAATCAAAGTAATGGTGTAAAGACGCTGAGCCTGATCGTGATCTGCTGGGTTGTTTCTTTGTTTGTTTGTTTCATGTTAAGCTCAGTGAAGTTACTTTCTACATGTTGGTAAAGGTTTAAGTCTCTTTGTTGCTCTGCATTCCTGTGTGTATATACGGCAGCTTCCATGGAGACGCTGTTTGCCTCTTTACACACTTTAGTCAGCCACTCACTTTACAGGGTTGGCATGCACTTGGCTGGACTTTACATCTCAACACTGTGTGAGTTTGGAAGGCTTCAAAAACTGTAAAGGACCACATGTTCAGCTGTACAACGGTTCGTGTATTTGTTCACTGGAGAGTATTTGTTGCTGATTAATGATTATACGACTCGGCAGCTAAAAATCTCTGTGCCAAAGGTCAGAGACATGAGATATTGAATATATCTTGTGCCAGGGAGACTTGAAGTAGCACGTCCATTCAGTGAGAGAAATTGTGGAGACCATTGTTGCCGGAGACTAAGCTGTTACCATGGTAACATGCTTTTTTCAGAGGAGACTAGTGCTTGTTAAGGGTTACTGCTGGCGTAGACATGAAGAGAGAGAGAGCCACAGAAAAAGGGGGCAGAACTAACCACAACAATGTGATCTGAAAGTTACCCAACGTGGTTTTCTTCCTTTAGGTTTGAACCAACCTCATGTGCTTGTAGTATTAACGTCTGCTCATTCATACAGCCCTCCTCCACTCAGCACTAATCTGATTATAGGCAGCTCACAGGAGAGAAGAGGGGGGGATTAAACGTGTGAGAATAACAAGACTACGTTGAGTTTTGGTTCTAGCTTTCTTTTAGCTTTACGTTGCTATGAAGTTGAATTAGAAATTGTGTAATTCAGTGCCAAGTTGGCATTTTATAAAGTTTGAGATCTCGTCCGCTTTTAATTTTATATACCAAAAATGAAAGAATATTTTGGTAAATGTGTTTTTTACCGCTTTCTTGCTGAGAATTAGATGACAAGATTGATCATATTTGTCGCTTATACCTGTAGCTGGAAGGCTGGACACAGCAGCACCTGCTACCAGCAGCTCCAAGGGTCACTGATTAACATAAAACATCTTGTTTATTTAAACCATGAATTTTCTGTACATATCCTGCAAAAACACAAATTGATTTGTTGATTTTAAACTTATGATTTTGTACATAGTAAACAGAAACTTATCACAGATTCCAGTCTTAATACAAAGCTGAGCTGACCGTCTGCTGGCTCCAGCTCCATATGTGCCGTACAGATCGGACAGTGGTGTCAATCTTCTCACCTAACTGTCGGCAGGAAAGCCAACAAAATTCCCAAAATGTCAAAATATTCCTTTAAGCAACAAGTCGTGATGTTTCGTCCCCCACCATCTGCCTAATCTCTGTTTTAATTTTTCATTTGGATTACTTTTTCACTCCCGTTGTTCTGCCTTTTTCTTGCACAATCTTCTCATGCACTCCTCCATTCCTCATTCCTGCATCTTTCACTGCCTCCCTCCCTCTCAGGGCTGCGTAGCTCCTCGGCTCTCTCAGGTTACTCAGTGTTACTGAGCTTCATGGTATGTAGATGAGTGTGCCAGGTCATGGAACCGACATTAATTTTTTTTATCAGGTGGGAAGGGTGGCTACAGTGTATTTTCTTCCCTCCATAGTAACAGTCTACTCAGCACACTCTGGATCCTGACTGCCAGTCGGTATTTAGTGCGTCCCTGCAGACAGTGACTGATCTTTACTGTAATTACAGTCCTCACGCTAAGCACACAGTAAAAACAAGAGCACCTGCTGTTGTGTCTCAGTCTCAGCACACCTGTTTGCACTTCCTTTATTTACTGTATTTTACAGTTTTATAGCTGCCTTGAATTTTTGGTTTCTCCTTTTTTTTTGACCTGTTTCTATATGAAGCACAAAAGAGGCACTGTTTCACAACCACACAACTCGTGTGAGAATCGTTGTGTGCCCCAGTTTCCAAACCCCCCTCTTTGTCCTCACTTACTGTCTCTCTTGGCACATTTCAAAGTGTGTGTGTGTGTTTATGCAGTGTGTACATCAGCATGTGCATCCCTTCATTTGTGTGCAGAATTAATGCCACCAGAGAGGCACATGTGTGGTGTGCACCTCATTACAGAAATATAGTACTGCTGGCCTCCTGCTAAAATTAGATTCAAAGTGAAGTGCCTTTTGAACTCTGACTTTCATGACTTCTGTTCATGTTCATAGGTTAGCGTGTTTGAAAACGCTCGTAAGAAACTCTGACATTATGTATTAGTAGCATGAACTCATATAGCGTACAGATACATGGGTGAGTCATTTGATAATGATACTAATGCTACATTCACTATCTGATTTATTGCTCAGATGTGATTGTTTCTGTTTGGCTGTTCACATTATTTTTTGAATGTGGCTCATATCAGATTCCAGTGCGATCAGGTCACAGTCCAGAAGTGACCTGCGTGACGAATGTCAGACTCCGTGTGATTTGTGTTGCTCATGCTGTCATGCTCGCAGCTCTGTGAAGCTGTAATAAGGCACAATTTGTTTGAGCTTAATGCTAACATCAGCATGCTGACATCCTCACAGTGATAATGCTAATATGCTGATGTTTAGCAGGTGTAGTGTTTAAGATGTTCACCGTCTTAGTTCAGTGTGCAGTGTTAAAGGTATTTGGTCATAAAATGGGCGCTAGATTGAAGAATAAGGGATCACCAAAGTAATTACATTCATCATTAAGGGGACATTAATGTTTGTGTCAAATGTCATGGAGTACCATTCAGTAATTGTTGAGACATTTGACAAAAATGTCAACCTCATGGTGGCGCTAGAGGAAAAGTTAGGTGATTACCAAACTCGTGTCTGTACAAACTTTAATGGAAATCAATCCAATAATTGTAGTTAGTAGGATTCAACATGGCTGCTAGTGTGTCTAAAAACGTCGTCATCCGTCCTCATGACGAGAAAGATGAGTAATTAATGCAGGCAGGTACATTTATTTTTACAATTTGAACATTAAAGCTTTGTTACTGCGTGTTTGCTGATTTTGATTGTGTACAACGTTTGTCCCTCCAGTTCCTCAGTTACTGCATGACCGTTAATCATCCACTCTGCTACCAAATTTTCTGATTTGCCTTTTGGCTCTTGCTTCCTGCTTCCTCTGCCGGCCTTCACCTGTGCTCTCCCTCTCTCTGCAGGCAGGACAGGTCAGCAGGACGATCTCCTACCTGAGTTTGATGTGGAGATTATGCCAGGTACGGCACCTCACCTGCACTTTTGTCTCACTGCATGGCGTCTTCTAGCTTCCCTAATGCCTCCTTATGTTTAATTTTCATTGACCAATCAAAACTCTCTTTGACTAACATATATGTTCTTGAGCCTGTGTTAACTCTATACTCTCCTCTGTTGTTTGTCAGAATGAGAAAAGGGTTCTAAAAGAGCGTCTAACCCACCCTGTTATTGAAGCTACATAAAGGAAAAAAATCACAGACTCACAGTTCTTATCCTTCGCCTCTGCCCATGATTTGAATTCCAGAGGGGATATGTGTTGACTAAGCGAGCGGTTTCGAGTGGATTTTGCTTCTCGGCACACCCTGAGGAAGTGTGCTGGTAGGATCTGGATGCTTTAGAGATGTGATGATGGATAAGAGTCATTCAGAATTCCCAAGAGTTTTCCTGAAGATTCCTTCTTCTTCCACTTTTAAGTTATGTTTGTTTAAAAGTTGTCAGATTGCTCAGATTGTTGTTTGCCCGCTGAACTTTTTAGCATTGCATTGTCAGATCTCAGCAACTTGGTTAGTACAATATTTTATTATCACTAGGAATGATGGCAAAACTATAAAATCACAACCCAAGCTGTTAAAGTTCTGAATGATCCTTTAAGTACGGTGTAAAGTGTTTATTATTATTTACATTGGATGCTGTCATGTTGTAAATTGAACCTGTATCTTGAGGGGAGCTGGGACGGAGTATTTTAACTTTGTAGTGAAGACGTCACACCCTAAACTGAATTATACCAGGCCTAACACAAACGGAGATAATAATAATAATGTGTGTTTGTATGTGTGTGTGTGTGTCTATACTCCAGAGTGGGCGTTTGTGGGATCTGTAGTCCTGGGCAGTATCTTGTTCCTGTTATTGATGGGGATCTGCTGGTGCCAGTGTTGTCCTCACTCCTGCTGCTGCTACGTCCGCTGCTGTTGCTGTCCTGACACCTGCTGCTGTCCACGCCACTGTGAGTAACACAAACAATAACATCAATGTAATTTCTATTCCATTCCATTTCTCAGTGTCAACTTGTCAATAATCACTGTATTGAAGGTTTATTGTTTCGATGTTCTCCGGCACAGTATACGAGGCAGGGAAGATGGCAAAGAGCGGACCGCCTGCTCCGGTTCCCATGTATCCCTACTACATTCCTGGTGTACCTACTGTGGTTCCTCTTGCCCCTTCTTCCCATATGGACCCGAAAATCGCTTCTATCCCCTCAGTGGAGAACAACCTGGCTGGAGGTGAGTTTATAAGGTGCTGAGACACTAGAGAGTTCTGTAACAGAACGTCTGAGTTGACTAACATTCATTTCCTCCATCATCCTCAAGTCTGTCTCTAACCTGCAGAGAAGCCGTAGAAATGATAGAAATGCATGTTTGTTGTTTAAATCTTAACATATTTCAATCTGGTTGTTGCATCGGACATTTACGTATATGTGTTTGTCCTTGCATGGTTATGTCCCTGTGTGTGTGTGCGTGTCCACATCCACAGTGCGCAGTGGTTATCGACTGAAAGCCAGTCCAGACCAGGACTCAATGAAAGTTTTGTGCTACATAGAGAAGGAGCTGGCTCAGTTTCCCTCTGCCAAGATGGCTGCACTCCAACGTAAGCCTGCACAGATTAGGCCAGTTTCTGTAATCTGTGTGGCTGTGTGCCCGTGTTTATGCGTTGGTGTCCAAGTGTTTCTCTTTTATGTGCATGCTTTGTGTATAATAACTAGTGGTAGTTTCCATCTAATCCCTACATTCATTTCATAACATCTAACTGTACTTACTGAAAAAGATGTTTCTCTTGTTCAAAAAAGAAGGTACATTTGTAAGGTCCCATCTTTAATCAGTAATATACCAGAGTCCATTATTGGAAGATCAATAATCTGGAAGACCAATTGAGATGTAACTGTGTGGTTGTTTTATAATCAAGCATATAAAAAATCTGGGAAATCAAAAATTGACACAAATCAGAAAAAAAAAGTTCAGATCTTTAATTTGCAACAATATATACCCAAAGATATCATCTCATTGTACTCTTATTGCCCACCCCTAGTTGAAGTTGAAGTTGAAGTGTAGTAATTATTGTGATTATGCCACGGTCACTTATAAAAAACAAAGCTTTTAAAGTTTGTTAGAAGTCAGTTTAACTAGGTTTCTTTCACCAGTGCGAGTGAATTGCAGTTGTGGTTACCTGCAGTTTAAAGTGTACTGATTTAGAGCAGTGCTTGCTGTGTGTCAGTTCATCAGAATGAGTCTTTGTCTTGTAAACATTTAAAGGATAAAGCTGATGGGGATATTTGCTCATGTCAACAAATTCCATGAATACATTAGTTCACCTCTCAATACTTTCTTCCCTTTTGTGTCTGTGGCTCTCTTCCAGAAGCCCATTGGTTCCTTCTGAAGATCTTAAAACACAAAAGGTCTCAAATGTACTTTCACAAACAAAGTGTCATCTCAGAAATGTTCTGATACAGCTGGGAACTGTAGTTTTAAGTAAAGGAAGGAATAAAGGAAGTTTTTCCTTGTCGCTGTCACCAAGTGTGTGCTCATGGTGGGAACTGTTGGGTCTCTGTAAATCATTTTATAAGTACGATCTATTTGAAAAGTGTCCTGAGATAACTTATGTTATGATTTGGCACCATACAATTTATTTAATTAAACCAATGGTCAATGGAAGTCTATAGCACAGAGGAATAACCATATTTTAGGCTAAAACATACAGTGTTTTAGTAATTGTGTTGTTAGTAGGATCAATGTATTGTTTCATAGTATTTGTTGACTAAGTGAATAAGGGAAAAAAAGAATATCTCCAGGCTTATCCTTTAAATTGGTAGTTTTAGGTGGCACAGGACACACTTCCCTCAGTAACGTACCGTGAGCTATAATCAGTTCTCATGATTATATAGGCGTAGTCACCTCAAACCAGCAAGTATGTGATGTACAGTGTGCACCATGTTCTTATCCCAACACAAAGGCTATGTAGTATTTCCAGCAGACCACGTCTTACTCTGTTGTAATCTAGTGGGCAATTACAGGAAACTTACCTGAAAATGTATTTTAAATGAATTTTATGATGCAAACAGAAAACGTGACTTTACTGATGTGTCTCACCCAACAGCCAGTAGCCTATCAGAGCTGAGCTCTCTTCATGATGGAGGGAATACAGACTTTAGACACACCTATCAGACGGTCCAGATGAAGGCGCTCCCGCCCATCGTAGACCTTGACGACCAGTCAGTGCTGAGAGCTCCGCCCACACACACTCGAAGGCTCAGGCGGGACAGATGCAATCACTCAGACGATGAGCTGGACAGAAGGTATAATTACTGTTATTTAGTGAATGTGTTAAAAGGGTGAAGGTCCCATGAAGTGATATTATTAGTTCTTTAATGTGGCCTGTCAGAGAGGAGAGGATTGTTTCTAATAACTTTATTGGTATCCCTGACTCTTGCATCATGACATCACCACTGACATCACTGTTTCCCAGGAGGTTTAAGTGCCCTTTACATGGGATCTTTAATTCCCCCCAGAACATTCAGCACACACTGGTCTGGAAATCCCATCGTTACTCTCTGTTCCAGAGTTCAAGATGTTCCCAAAAATGTTTCATGTTTGATTTTATGTTCTGTGATATTCTGCGTTTGTGTTGTGTTTTAGTTTTCAAGCTTATTTTTGTGTGAATAAGTAGAGCAGATTATTACTACATGTCACTGTGTGTGCTGAGCTGTGTGCTCTTCCTCGCTGTAGGTGGAACTGCAGCTCAGAGCACCTGCAGAGGAAGACGTTGAGCAAAAGAGGGCGCACCGGCTCCCTGGACGAGCTGGAAGACTTTGCCCAGTCCTGCGGCTCCCGTGGTCGTCGGGCTGAGCCTCCGGACCGGGTCTACGAGCGGGATTACAGCCCTCCCAGGCGTTTCTACAGAGATGAAGATGACAGATGGGGCCGCCGCAGCCCCTCACCCTTACCACAGAAGAGAAGGGACACGTGGGACAGTGATCGGCCCTCGCGGCCGCCCCAGAGCAAAGCATACGATGACGCCTTTCTCACTAGTGTGCTGGAGAACAAGGCGAGGGGGCGGGGAGGGGACAGAGGTGCTGGTAGACCGGACGAGGACAGTGACACGCCCTCTAAAGGCAGCTCCAGAGGAAAGGGCAGCAATAGTTACTACAGCCGGTCGCCTAGCAACCGTCCAGAAGAGGAGGACCCTTTGCCTCCGTACTCTGAGTGGGAGGCTGAGCGCTACCGGAGGGCTGACCCAACTGCAGACCGGTACCGGACTGTGGAGCCTCCCAGATCAGAGCGATACAGGACCACTGAACCAGCCACGAGGCCCTTCTGTTACACCCGCCCCCAGCAGGGGATGTCCCACACAATGCAGGGGGGCAGAGAGGAGAGAGATAGGAGCCGAAACCTGGTGAGTTACTTGTAGCAGGAACTTGGACTTCCTTCCTCTTCAGCTCTTCAGGAAAGAGCCTCTAAATCCTGTAAAGAGTTACAGGAAGTCTATGTTCTATATTCTGTTTCTTATTGTCAACAAATCCCATGAAAGATCCAAAACTGATGATAATGAAGTCTGATGAAGCTTATTCCTCTGTCCTATAAAACTTCATTATGGTCCACAAACTATTAAACACACATCAGTGAGTCACACTGCTGCACTAGCAGACAAGAGTGTGATTGTTCTCCACAAACTGCATCAGCATAGGGGTCTCCCATTAGTTAGTTTCAAGTTTAATTCAGTTCACACAAATAGACACCAAAACCGGGTAATGACAGAGAGACAGACTTCTTTTTTTTATTAATCTTTATATATGTATAGTTTACACTTACTTTGCAGCTGTTTCCCATGCCAGTAAAGCTTTTTTGAATTGAACTGAATTGAACTGACAGAGGATAGGAAGGGCTGAGAGAGAAAATGGGTGAGCTTAAAAACTTAAACTTAACTAAAAACTAAACTTAACTTGATCTGTATTTCATTGTGTTCACTTACCAAAAACGAACTCTCAGGATACACTGGTTACCTTGTTAAGTGATGACTTGCTGTATTTTAAAGTCAGTATATTGTTGTTGTTGTTACTGTTTGGGACATTACATGACCAAAAAAAAAGACTTACCTTTGTTGAATATCACCCCTTCTTCATCCATCAGATTAGTGTCAGAATAATAAAGCAAATGCCCCAAAAATGACAAAAAAACCCTGCAAACTAAATATTTGTGACATGTTTTTAAAGCTGTACGTCTTCAGTAGGAACAAGTAAGAAAGTATTATTGATATAGGTTATTGGTTTTGAGATTTTCATGGGATTTGTTCTAATAATAATAAGAATAATACAGAATAACATTGTACTTATACATCTTAAAATGTTTTACAGTATTATGTACATAATATCTCTCGTGCATACAAGATTTATGGTCTTAACACTGAATCATTATAATTTAGTTTTTTTTATCTAGGCTACATTTACAAAGAGTAAAAGCTATTACAAATTACATATATGATTTAACTCAAATATGTACTGTATAACCTGGCCACGCTTGCAACCATTACAGTGTTACAAATGCTTATTAACTGGCTCACCAAATGTGGAATCAGTATCACATTCACTACTCATTACTACTAACACACAGAGGCTGGACTAACCTCGCATGAGCATGAACACAAAGTCTCTAACATGTGGCTGTTGGTGTATTTCTTTAACAGAGCACTGCACTGAGCAGGGACTCTCTCATAGTGTGACAAGGTTTCCCAGCCCCGACCCGCCAATCCGTTCATTTAACCCGTCCTGTTGCTACGCAGGAGAGGCTAACTGTTCTGCCACCAGCCGCACGAAGTCTGACTCATCTCACTGAAAATAACTGCACCTGCAAAAACAGCTAGTGGATGGAAGAGAAATGAATGTGCGCGGAGCATTATGTGCAGTTGTTTACGTTAGCACAGGACGTTTTTCCTCATGTGCATGAATTATGCCTGGGTTATTTATGCATGTGTAGTTTACAGATGTTACGTATGAGGTGTGCGCATCAGTTTTATTTGTTAAGTTTGATGAGTTGAGTGACTGGATGGAATTAAACCAGTGCCAAGATGTTTTTTTATTATTATTATTATTATTATCTGCCAATTTCAAAAAGGTCTTGTGACACTAAGCAGGACGCCACTGTCTTATATTTTCCTTCAGACTTTATACTTCTCACTCAGTACACTGCGACTCAGGTTCACTTTGTATTTGTGTGTTTGTCTGTTGTTGATATTGTACTGTAAGTACTGTACCTTGAATTTGTTGTAATTGCACTGCTTGAATACTTTTTAAATAAAGAAAACTCTTAAGTCTTCGCTGTCCTATATTAATGTATTTTCATCATCTGGAGGAATACATATAGTTAGGACTTCAGTTTGTGTTTTTATTAGCTATTAATCTGGCGAGTATTGTCTCAACCAATCAATTCATCATTTGGTCTGTAAATGTGAGAAAATAGTGAGAATTAGCCATTTTCAAACGTCCAACCAACAGTTTAAACCGAAAGGTATTCAGTTCACATAAAACAAAGAAAAGCAGCAAAACATCACAAATGAGAAGCTGAAAATAGAAAATGTTTATTATTATTATTAATAATAATAATATAATAAATAATATGGATATATGGAGGAGGAAATAAGACACATGACATTTATACAGAAGCAGTTTATCATTACCGTCTGCACAAACGTAATAAAAACATCTGTATTAATCATGTTGCTGAACAGACTTCTGTGTCTCAGTACTTTATTTAAGGGGATCAAATATTATTTTAGAACATGTCAAAGTAAGTTTCCAGCACATTACTCACCCACAAACAGCATTATGCACATCTCAATATTACTGCAGGTGCTTTGGAAAAAAAATTCTCCACACACTGAATATAAGGTCTAATAAAATATTTAGTGCAGCTTTGATGTTCTGACGTTCTTCATCAGGTAATATTCAGCGTGTGACCAAGGAGGTTTATATAGAGACGTTTCCTGATTTCAAGTGTGCCAAATAAAATAACACTTACTGACACTCACATCTCAGTCGATGTTTCTTCATACTTCCACTCAGTAAATGATTAATATCACAATATTCTGAGGATATGTTTGAAATATGTGACTGCACCCTTTTAAGATGTAACTAATTTTGGAGTTTTGTGATGTGTTCGTCATCGAAACACCATAAATAATTTGATAAGTAGATGTAATTGTGTAATTTATGTTAAGTCCTTAGAGTCAGTATATCATCTTATTCTTTTGGGAGGATAAAGTTTTATTTCAGTGTGATTTTGAACTAAGCACATGACACAAACTGGTCCTTGTGATTGCATTTATTTAGCTTTTTTATTGTTTTGAAATGGTTCATTTTGCTATAAAATATCTTTTGTCAGTCACAAAATCTGATGTTTAAGTTGTCATTGTGTTTAACAATATGTGTGATAAAGTATGCGTACCTTGGATGAAGCCTGTGTTTTTTATCGTAGCTTATCAAATTCACACAACTAAATAAACACTAGAGCTTTATTGACAATGTAAATCAGCACACTTTATCATATAAAGCAAGTGTGCACCTTTAAAATGTTTACATAAAGTATTTTACTGTGTGAATGGAACATCATAACCTCAATATATTTAGAGAAGAATTAAATGTTTCTACATATTTTGTGTCTCTTTAGTTGTTTTGCATCCCTTTGCCATCATTTTGCAAGTCTTTGTAGTTGTTTTGTGTGTTTTTTTGTTGTTTTCTGTTTCTTTATAGTTGTTTTGTGTGTTTTTGTAGTTTTGTTTCTTTGTAGTTGTTTTGTGTCTTTTTGTAGTTGTTTTGTGTTTCTCTTACCACTCTTGCCCCACCCCTGCACGTTACGGCTGTTTATTTAGAGCAAAATGAGACTAAAATGTTGATAGAAACAAAACATTTGGTAACATTTTATAACACCGCCCACAAATTGCAGAGTTAATATTTTGTACTCAGTCGATATAAAGACAGAGAAAATGAAAGGTACTGTGTGTCCTCTCCAGATACTGACAAGGAAGGAATTTAAAAACTGGCATGTTATGAGGTTTAGAGTGAAACCAGACAGATGCGATGGCAAAGCTTTCCATCTATGCAGCATTTTTCACTAGATTTCAAGTACACTTCAGTGAGCTGAGAGCAGCACTTGAGTTCAGCTCATGCGGGCTTGTTTTGTGTCAACAGTAAAGCCCGCTGGGGTCCACGTCCTGGATAAGAGATGCAAACATCATCGCACAAAGAGCTCCGACACTCCTCCAACATGACTCATCCTCAGAGTGAACTTTAGAATCGGGTTGTTTGCCATAAACGAATAAATGAAATCCATCGACGAGCTAACCAGCGTCTACTTCAGGCCATCTATTCACATTATGCTGTTTCTTTTCACACTACTGTGGACTTAATGGACTGGATGTTATCATTTACATAAATAATGTATTCATTTGTCATGCAAACAGCATTCAAATGGAAAGAACGTGTACTAGTTTATAAATAAGTTATTTGCTAATAAAGAGTCTAAAGAAATGGAGTGCTTTCTATGGATCCTGGGAAGGATATAAAATTATGAAATTATCAAATGTCCTGAAATTTGTATGTTCAACATATTTAACTGTACCCTCAGATTAACTAATTCATTCTCTCATAATAACTCAGAGTTTAGACATAAGATATCTTTGTCTCACTTTCTGTTTGATTATACAGTTACCAATACACAGTATATGTCTTGGGCTATATGTGTGTGTGTGTGTGTGTGTGTGTACATACACATATAGGCCATATATATGTATTTTACTCATATTGAATTTTGACAAAGTGAATGAATGAATGTGACACCAGTTCATTTCACTCACAATGTGAGTTTAATAATGTGTAATTTATTTGCATTATAAAGTGTTTTTCAATGACAATCCATACAGTTGAGAATTACAATTTCAGATATATTAATACGATTTATCTCCAACTGTACAGAAGAAGACAAATGAATGTGATATTAGGAGTTAAATTTAAGGTCTTGTGTATATTAAGTTAGAAAGTTATCTGAGAAAATGACAGATGAGGCATGAATTGATAACTGGAGGAAACACCCCTCTGTTGCTCTCTTTAGGACATTTTGACCCTCCAGCTCTTCCTCCTTGTTGCACCTGTCAGAGGGGGCGGGGTCAGTGATGTCACCTGAAACTGGGGGGAGGACGATCCGCCTCCGACAACACCGACAACACAGGCTCTCTGTGGGAAAGTTGCTCCTCAGCGCGGCTGTAAACACTCGTCTCTTCCCCTCAGAAGATCAACAGGTCCGGACCAACATGTCGTCCTAACAGAACAGTGGGATTACTATGCAGAGCAGCGGCCGCGTTCCGTTTCTCTACACATATTCCGGATTTTGGGTGGATTTTGAATCTCCTACAGGATAGAGCGACTGAAGCTTCCGCGGAAGGATATAGAGCAACGAGATGGGAAATCTAATACTGATGGCGCTGCTGCTGGTTCACCTGCCGACAGGTGAGGCTTTAAAGGCCTCACAGTAAACACATCTGTTGCCTGATGTTTGTACTTTATACTCATGTCATCTGGTTTTTATGTTTATAGCAGGAATTTAAAGTGAATCCACTCAGGCAAACAGTGGAAACTAACAGGAGGATGTGTAGCCTACAGGTTAATTATCGACAGGTGTAAACAGGACAAGGCCGACTTCTGTCACGTGACTTCACGCTATGGGTCGTTTGTTCTAACATTAAAGCGTCCTAACTGTGGAAAGTGCAGAATACAATATTAAATCAATATTACATCAGTATTACATTAGAGTTCGTTATTAGATCAAACCTCCATAAAAAACAAGATATCAGAGTTGTGCTGTAAATATTTATTATTTTTATTAACTAGTTAATCTGCTGTTGAGAAGAAAGATATTGGCAATTAATCGACCAGTTGAAAACGGAAAGCTAATTTAAATATTATAATAATTATAAACATTATTTAACGTCGTTTATGAAGCAATTAAAGCTGCTTCTTACCATTTTATATCCTATAGGATCTATATGGTTTATAAACTAGAGCACAGACTGATATCATTAAATGTCTCTTTTTGTCCAAAACCCAAAGATTCCTTTTAATTTTACTTTCACTTACTCACTTCACTCACAAATGTTTATACAAAGAAAATCAGGAATTGTTCACATTTGATAGTTGCAGGTTAATTTTCCTTCAGTTGACAGAAAAATAATACATAGAATAATTGATAATCATAATAATAGTTGCTACCTTAATCTGCACAATACTTTGAATAATTGAATAATTTATTGTTCTGTGTGAACTTTTCAAAATTACAGTTATAAATCCAAGTACTATCCAGACAAGAAAAGCAATAAATGTTCATATTTGAGAGGCTAAAACCTGCAAATTGGCATTGGACAGATAAATTAATCGACTAATTGTCTCACTGAATACTGATCACATGTTAGTTTTACAATGTCTGTGAACAATGAAAAAGCCTAAAGATTTAACTATTTAAGTATTTTTATCTACTTCTAAAGTTGTGGAAACAATTTAATAGTATTTTGTTTGGAAAATGATGAGTTTTTGTAAGAAAACCTGCAGGTCAGTTTTCTAATATTATTTGGTGACAGTGTCATATTGTTTATATATGGTTCATAGAATATGGTCCCAGGTTTTATTTGAAGTATAATCTGGTTTAGAGCTGAAACGATTCATCGACTAATCAATCAGTAGATTAACAGAAAATGTGTCTGCAACATTTCTGAACATTAATTAATCATTTAAATCAATTATGAAGCAAAAATACCATTTTCTGGTACTTGGATTTGCTGCGTTACATTGTAAATTAGATTGGATTATCTAAACTTGGGTAGCGTACTTGGCATTTTGTTGAATGAACGATTGATCAATTACTTGGAAAATATACCATATCAGCCACATAGGAAACTATCAATAAAGATAAAATCATTAATTAAATTAAATAGACCTTCATTAAATTATCGCACATATCACAAACTAAAATACACACTGCTGGTTGTTTTACTAGTTGTTTAACAGAAGATTAATACTGTGACTCAAATGGTCAATTTTAAAGCAACCCCCCCCCAAAATTCACTGGTTCAAATGTCCTCTGTCAGGGATTGTTAAAATAAAATAATCTATTTGAAGATATTCTTAAACTAGCAAATAGTGACGACATTCTTTCCTCTTTTCTGACATTTAAGGATCAAACCATCAGTTTCTTAAGAGAATAACTGGCAGATAAATCAAAATAATAATAATTTTGTTTTATTTCTGGACATAAATCTACTGTGAACACTTGTCAGATGGTTACTGACAAACATCTCAATCAGGGTTTTGGACTTCATATTCAAAGAGAAACTTTGACCTTAAATCTGAACTGATCCTGTTCTCAGTTAGCAGAGGTTGTCTGTCGTTAGCTTGTTTTCTGCATTGCTGATCGTGAGTGACAGCTGTTATTGCTTCTTATGATATAATGCACTCTCAAAGACTTGTGGAGAAAACTGTTAACCAGTCTGGTCAGATTCTTATCAATCCAGCATCCAAGAGCAAACACACTGCACTGAAGAGGTTTTTTTAGTCGTAAGTTACAATTAGAATAATGTGCCAATGCGTTCTGCTGCTTTACATTTTATCTTCCATCTTATTTCCTCCTCAATTTTTTCTGTTTGTATCAGAGCTGCTGTCCATCCAGGTGATTGTTCCAGAGACGGAGAGGAGGACGACTCTGTTTGCCTCCGTGATTCTGCGCTGTGACTACTCAACGTCAGCCAACCCTCAGGATGTCCTGGTCACCTGGAGGTTCAAGTCCTTCTGTAAAGACCCAGTGCTGGAGTTGTACTCCACAGGTGAGGCTGCAGCTGGAAGGAGAGCGTGGTTTTAATGTGCAATAATGTAGCTGAAACAAAGCATGTGCTGGAAGAATAGTGGCGTACATAAAAACTGGCAGGGACTTTCACAGAGATGGTGAACAACTTCTTCATCTCTGATCTCTTCATATTGTCATAGTAGAAGAATAACTAATAACAGTTTAATTGACTTTGTGAGTGGATGTTTGTTTTTTTTACATTGTTCTCACAGTATTATAACACTAATTTGCAATTGCAAATATGTTTTAACAGAGACTTAATTTTTTTAATCAACATAATAAGGAAATGTTTTAATGAACATATCCGTCACAAAATGTTCACAGACCTTCATTTCAGCTGTTTTCCCCATAATATCTGCTTTTGTGATACAATATCTGATTGGAAAGGCTGTTTGACCGAGGTAGCGGTACAGTTGAGGGCCTTTTGGGTGGTTGAACAGTCACTGAGATAACTTTATGCGCTCAGTTGTCAAAAAAATGGAGCTTTATTCAGTTTTAACCCATGACCTTCTTCTTCATATTTGTTCAGCTTTGAGCAGTGTTTACATTTGATTGTACATTTCCAATCAGAGATAGTCCCAGAAAGACTGGCTTTTCATTTGTTACACCAAAATGCACCAAAATAACAAACTGCAGTTGACCATATAGAAATATTATAGAAATGATCTTGTTGATTTTGATGTTTTACATTCCAAAAACTGAATTTGAACTGAACTTTAATTTCCTATTTTCCAGCACACACAGACATAATACAGACAACCCAATCTAATGCTCACAGCATGTACCATTGTTTATTGTTTTGACACCATACATTGATAAATTTTAAAGCCCTAAAAGGTTTAAACAAGCAGGAGGAAGAAATATTGCAAAGAGGAAATCTTTGATTTTTGTTGAGTATCTTAAATGCATGCATGTTTGCATCTAACTTACAAACTCTAAACACCAAGAGAGATTTTAGGATTTGTTTGTTTTATCAGTAATGCAGTTTTTGGAGTCATAAACTGTAAAGGTTTATTTGTAAAAGTAAAAAGTGCAAGAAAACAGCAGAAAGACACAATTTTTGTCCTAAATAATACAGAGCAAATACTTGAACTGCATTATAATAACTACCCGTCATGGTAAAGAGCAGCACCCTCACTTTAAAATAGCAGTATTTTGTAATATCACAATAAAGAAAAATATGTTATAATAGCGTCATTAAGCCTGATCCTGGTGCGTTAGTGTGGTTTATATTTTATTGGCTAATGGCTCTCGAATAATTATTCAGTGACTTAAGCTTCATTATCCTGCTGGCAGCATGTTGGCAAACTGAAAATCTGGTTATTATTCACAAAGATAAATTAGTCAGAGTGCCACAGTTAGGAAGGTTTGAGTGGTATGAGGTAGACTGATCAAGAAGAAAAAGAATATTTCATAAATTCAACACTTTTTATCCTATTTTTTAAGCCTATCAGGCCGCTCTGCAGCTGGGTCAGGACCCCTCCAATGATTGCCCGGACAGCCAGCGCACAATCCGCACTGTGATCCAGAAGAGGGGCATTAATGAGCCCATCCTGGGTGCAGACTACAGAGAACGCAAAATTACCATTCAAAACAGTGAGTTTGATCCCATCATAATGACTTACAATCATACTCACTCCACTGGTTCGTGATCTAATTTGAAGATGTCTTACAGAAATGAAGTAAAGTTCATATACTTTTGCTAATTGGTTAAGATGGAGTTGTGAAGGTACTGTATGTTAACAAAAAGTATTTTCAGTGCTTTACTTTATATAACTGGAGAAGCTATATTGCCTGAAGTGAGACACTAGCAAACACACAGTGTATATATAGAGCAAATAAAAGAAACTAAAACCAAATATTCAAATGCTTTTGTCTTGAACTTTTTTTTGCTTAAATCATATTTGCATCCATTTAAACCTAATATTCTTGTCTGATCTTATTTTTAAGTAATGCTAATGTTACTCGTCAACAGAGGCTGACCTGGTCATCACTGAGGTGATGTGGTGGGATAACGGCGTTTATTTCTGCAACATTGATGCTGCTGGTGACACGACAGGGGACTCGGATCGTGAAGTCAAACTCATCGTGTACCGTAAGTTTCCTCTGTTCAGGTTGTGGCACAACAAGGTCACATAGAGCCCAAAAAGACTTTCTTTTTTGAAGTTTTGAAATATGAGTAATGAGATGTGTCTTCTTCCTTGTTTCAGACTGGCTGACAGTCCTGTTAATCATCCTCGGTGTTCTCCTGCTCATCATGCTCTTCTGCATCTGTTGCTGTCAGTGCTGCCCGCAGAAGTGCTGCTGCTACGTTCGCTGCCCGTGTTGTCCACAGACATGTTGCTGCCCGGAAAAAGGTCGATACTCTTTATGAAACCATAAACTACATCACATGTTACAGCCCCGATCCAAGTTAGTCTCCTGCGCTACCTGTTGCGATGCCTCAATTGGAGGTATCTGTTCATACCGAGTACCTGGATCATGTTTGAGCAGCTGTAAAACAACAATTGGCTTTTTTTTTCATGGAAGACATGTTGACATGTCACAGTAGGAAAATCACAGGTGCAAATAATAAAATTAATGATGGCTGAATTTAATTTATCTGCTTCAGTCAAGTACTGATATCACTGAGCACAGCCACACAAACCTCTGACTTCATCTTTGCTCTGATTCCAGCTGTGATGCAGCACCGGATGCTGCGAGACGCTCAGAAGGCGATGGCTCCTTGGATGAATGGTCAACCCATTTACGCTCCCATTAGCTCCAATGCCTCCTCCCAGGGTGTTCCCATACTGTATTCAGGTGAGTGACACAAAAGACTTATCTTTGATGCTTTATTGAATGCTTGGTTGATCACTCTCGCCCAGACCCAAGGGCGTATGTTTGGTTTGGATCAACAAGTGGAGGACACAATGAAATAAAACTGATAACCGTGTAGCCTGAGAGACAAAACCCAGGGTATAAGTTTATAAACACTGCTCCTTTTTTTTTTTTAAATCTGGATTTTGGCAGTTGGACCTTAAAGATCCTGTTAAAAGGAATTTAATCAGTAAATCAAACTGTAAAAGTATTGGAGTTAAATTTAAATGAATGATAATGTTTCTCCTTCTCTGCTGGATGTGTGAATACCATATGAAGCTTTTTTGCTGAAGTTCTACATATTTAAGATGAAGATGTTGAAGACTTTGTCTCTGCAGTTTGTTTCTGCTGCCTCCAAGTGGCCAAAAGTCAGTTGTAGGTTTTTCACATCTCTTTTTTTTTTTTAACTCTTGTTCCAGGCTCGTACTCGGACTACCCTGTCAAACAAAACTTTGCCATGGCTCCCATGCAGCTGTCACCCATGGCCCTACAGCAGCAGCCCCCTCCTCATCCACACCATGGTAACGGCAGCGTGCGGGGCAGCACTCATGGCACCGGACAGGTGTTGGACTACCTGGAGAACCAGGTGAGGGGGATGGATATGGCGGCGCCTCAAATGGCTCATTACGCTGTCCAAAACAGGCCTCAATTCCAGCCTCAATTCCAGCCTCAATTCCAGCCAGGTCCTCCCGCAGTGCCCTACACACCGGGGCCACCGAGTATGTTGTCAGCCCTGGATGAGATGGGGGTGAAAGGGGTGGAGAGAAGGGTGATAACCCTGCCTCCTATTATCCAGCGTGTCCCCAGTTTTTCCTCACGCAGGGGGCCTGGAGCTGGAGATGGACCCAGAGGTGGTCAGAGGTTATCCAGCCAGTCCAGTGGGAGTGCAAACCACTCTGGAGGAGGTCTCCCCCGCAACAGTCGTGGCTATAGAGACGTCTCTCCACCCAGACGGGGGATCCTGCGGGATTACAGCGATGACTCCGACTGGGAGAACAGACGAGGAAGAGTGTCACACAGGGGTTCAAGGAACGAGCGAGAAGGCTCGGCCAGGAGGAGCGGAGCTGGATCCAGGCGGCGTACTCATAGTCGAGATAACCTGATGGAGGAGCTGCACAGCAGAGCAGCTCGGAGGAAGAGGAGCTATTCACCTCCTCAACATCGCAAAGGATCCTGGAGCTCAGATGAAGAGGACAGCAGCGGAAGGAAAAGTGGTAAAGGGAAGGATTGGCCAGAGATGCCCCCCAGCTACTTCTCCATAGAGAACCAACCTGAACACAGTAACGGCCGGAGGAACTACAACCCCCTTTCTGTAAGACCTCACACAAATACTAACGCACACCCTCAACCAATGGTCTTATGAAAATCACCCTCTTTGTGCCACTGTCCTTTTTTTGTTTAGCCTTGACTTCTTTCTTTGATCACTTTCATCTCTCTCTCCCTCCTTTCCTGTCACTCGTCAGCTGTCACTGTCAATGAAAAGGCAATAAAATATTATAAAAAAATGAAAACATGTTCCCAGTCGATGAATTGCTTTGACTTTGATGATCCCCTGACTTTTCTTTTAGCTCCATCATGAGGACTAGACCTTTTTCACAGCAGCCGTTTTGACATGAAATAGTAGGGTAAACACAGCTGCTACCAATGATAGTAATTAAGTCTCCGTTGCATTCAGGTCAAACAGAGTCAGGGTGCTGCTGTTGAGCTTGTTGGCTCACTGGAAAGGCCCTGCTACACTCAATGGAATTAAACCTTTATACGTATCATTGTTAACACCTGTGTTTACCCTATTGTTTCATGTCAAAATGGTTGCTTGCTGGTTTGCTTGCATCAAAATTTTAATGTCACTAATCAGCCTCAACTGTACTTTGTGTTTAGTGCTAATTAGAAAATGTTAACATGCTGAACTACAATAATAAACATGGTCAACATTATACTTGCTAACATTGTCATTGTGAGCATATTAGCTGAAAGTAGAGCTTCACAGAGCTGCTAGCATTACTCTCTTATTCTTGAGTACTTTCTTTCATCACTTTTTGATCCGTTCTTCGGTATATTGAATCGTCATATCTTCCTCTTTAACTTAACCTCGCCTCCGTCACTTTTCTCTCTTAGGATAGAAGTTCCCGTAGCAGCCCCAGCGTAGTCATCTGAAGCATTTCTGTCTTTTTTCACCTTTTCCTGAACGTTTCCAGAACAGTGCTGATGAAGACCGACAGTAGGTACATTCATCTGTTCAATCAGCGTACAACGATGTTTGATAGCGAGTCCTAAAAATGTACAAGATGTACTGTATACCTTTACTCTGTATGCACTGTTTGTAATTTGTAATGTAATGAAATATGATTTTTATATATGAAGTAAAGCTGTTGAGGCTATAAACTGCAGATCACATGCAGTTTTATAAAGCCTCTTGTTATTTAGACGATGTAATGAGTGTGAGCTTGTATTCAATGATGTACTTTGTATGTGTGTGGTTTCCTTCTGGTGATGGATAAAATAATCCTAATTGATGTTTATGAAGTAAGTGTTTAACAAGAAGATTGTTGGATATTGTGAGATATTGTAGGTTATTTAGATGTATCATTGTGAACATGTTGTGAGTGTTATTATTTTTTTTAATAATTTCTTATTTTTGCATAATTTCTTTTACTTTTTGAACTGTTTTTTTTATCTTTATCTGAAGTGACACTGTTAGACAGTAAGAGCAATAAAAAGTATGATACATGTATTAGAAAATGGACGGAGTTAGTGGACAGAAGATTTTATGTAACATGTAATTGTGATTTTCATTAATGTTTGTTTTTGTTACAAACATGAGTAGAGATGTATTGTGAGTAAATGTGTATGTTTTAAATAAACCTTTTTAGATACAACTAATGTAAAGTGAATAATTTTAGTACTTATAAATTACATATAAGATCTGACGCTGTTTGTAAAACTGGATTACCAACTGGGCAAAGTGGCACTCCTGAGGCCCCAGACTTCCAGGGGTAACTTGTGGCACTTGTCTTGTAAAGGAGCCTAATGTCCAAATGTAGTTTATAAAACCATAATTAGTTTATAATTTCCATTTGAAACCATATGAGGTGACGTATTACAAACTGTGAGAACATAAAATCCAAGACTTTAAATAATAATCTGAATCTGTAAGATAGGACGATAAGAATGAGGCATTTCTGCTAGGATCAATGGGGAAAGGTGTACTCAATATATAGATCGATCAATATATTAATAATCATGTTTGATTTATGTTTTATGTTTCATGTACATAAATTAAGTTAACAGTATATTAAAATAATGACAGTGAGCTTGATTGTTTTGTACATTTGGTGGAAAGTATGTGATAAAGGAACACATATCCAGTCTATCCAGTCTATCCAGTCAACAATCTTGCTATAAAACAAATCACAAAGGTTATTATGTTTAGTTTTTGTTGGAATCCTTTTAGAAATATGTTGATTTAATCTTTATGGTCATTTTGCTGTCTGTAGTTGGTGGTGCTGTTTAATTGTTTAATTTAGTATTCAGTATTTCTGTAATATTCATGTGGCTCTGTGCAGAAATACAGTGAAGCTGCCCTTCATAGTGTGCTGTATGCACTGTACTTGATAAGATCTGGGAGGCAACAGGAGGGCCAACAGCTACAATTTGCCTCAGGGGCTAAAAAACAGGTTGAACCAGGAATTACTGCACCACAACAACCAAATCTCAGTACAGTCTGTCTGACACCGGTGTGTCCAGCAGGGGGGACCAGAGGGAACTCATATGATCTGCAGTGTACAGTGTGATTTGACTTCAGTGGTGTTTGTGTCAGTGCATGACTAAGAGTTGAAAAATGTCAGCTCTTCTGGGTTTTTTTTTTTGTGCAGATGTGGATTTTATGAAACCATTTAAACCATATTCAAGCCATTAAATGTATATTATATACAGTATTACCAATGCAAAGCAATTAACAGCACAATTTCAAGTTATTAGACAGTATGAGATCTGTTCAACAAAGGGGGAACTGTGTTTTGAGAGCAGATGTTGAAGCTGAAGATGGAGCCTGTGTGTTTACTGAATCACAGGAGGAGGAGGTGAGGGAGGAGGAGGAGGAGGAGGGACCCAGACCTCCTCTGAACCCTCCATGCTGCAGTCTGATTGGTGGCTGCGGTGCTCCGGAGAGGCTGACCGACCGACTGGGGGAAGTGAGACTGTCAATGTTTGAAGGATCCTGGATGATCAGCTGTCGGTCCTCCCCAACATCCACTGAGAGCAGCCATCGGTAGCAGGAGCACACAGAGTAAACAACACACCGGCAGCTTCACGTCGCTTTTTTTTTTTAAAGGTAAGGCTGACTGGATATTAGCTACCCGCTAGTTAGCATTAGCAGCTGCGCAGATTGTCCCATAAAGAAAAACACTAATTATCATAAAAGCAGCGCACAGCTAACAGTAGCTAGCTGAGCTGGTGCAGAGACACACAGCAGCAGTTTCACATAAACACAGTGAACACATCGGCTGTATCATTTATAAACTATCGTTATATTTATTATGTGTATATATATAATGTATTCACAGAGCTGTATCACCTGTTGTGTACCATTGTGTGACATGTAAAGGTTACTGTTTGAGCAGCTTGTTTACAGGAGGACTCTCAGTATTATTAACTCTGTGTTATTCTCGGTATGTCGGCCGGTTGTAGCTCGTTTTCCTTCTGCTCTGGAAGGTGACTTGTGTTGTGTTTTTGCTGTCTGGTTGTCTGCAGGCAGCATGAACTCCCTCCCGGGTAGAGCCGCTCTGTCTCTGTGCAGGCGCACCGCAGCGGGCGGAGTGAGGGTGTTCGCCGGGTCCCCGGGTCTCCTTGCCGGGGGACTGACGGCCTCTCTCCGGGCTGTGCGGGTCTGCCACTCCGGGACGAACCGCAAGGGCAGCGTCAGCACCAAGAAGAGGGGCTACGACATCACCAGAAACCCACACCTCAACAAGGTGAGACCACTGTTTTTACTTCAGGTAAAGGTGAGCATGTGAGCTCACCTGTGATTCACCAACATGTGAGGACATTATGATTCATATGAACACAGCAGATATTTACTTTTTTTCTATTTTGCATTTTAGAACTGCAACGACTATTTTAACTATTCACCAATTAATGAAATAATCAATAATATTTTGGTCTGTGAGATGTCAGCAAATTGAGACAAATCTTCACTACAAGTATCCAGTGTGTCCATAACCCAAAGATATTACATTTATTATCATTGAAAGACCAAGAAAACCTGAACATATTTACATTCACACCAGCAAATTCTTGGTATTTTAGCTTACAAACACTTTGATAATAATTAATCAATTATCAAAACAGATTAATTTGATGTTGTTTGACATCGTGTCCTCACACTTGTACTTGTACTATAAATGACCTAGTTCACCGATGATGTCTGGCACATGTCCTCACAGTTTATCTGTAGATCAGCATCTATGCTGCTCTGCTACATTTTCTTTCTTTTTTATTCTTAAAGTAGCTTTCTTGAGTATACAGAGGTATTTAAGACTGGAGACACAGACCTGATGGTAATGTAGTGCTCTATGAGACGTTATATATAAAAACACTAGGAGGAGCTTTAACAGAGTCATACTAATTATGTCATTACCATAGGTTAAGACTAATTAATGCATCCTTGAACAAATATAACACTCAATATTCATGTTTTTACATCAATATGAAATGTGTCTTAAAGCAACATTTTCTCTGCGTGGGGGGACCTGTGTCTACAGATAACATGACGCCCTGCATACCATGTTGTATGATGGTGGAAACAGAGAATACCATCTAAGAACCACATGGTACATTAATGACATAGCTCCTATCTGACTGAGATAGCTGAGTGGTTAAACCCCCACCTCTGGAGCTATGAGTGGTCTCCCTGTAGATCCCTCTAATGTGTCTGTCCCACTCTTCCTCTGTCTGCTTAAAAGTCCTAATAAAGCTTAAACATAAGAATAATAGACTTAATGTGATAATGTGAATTAAGATAATCCTAACCTATTTTATAGTTTGTTTCCCCCAAAACATTAATTTCAGTGTGACGCTGCAAATGCAGAGAATAATTACTTGTATTTGTTTCAGAGTTTGATAGAAAACAAAATGCAGTTTGCAAACATAGTACAGTTGCACTGACAGTGAGACCCAGCCGTGGTTTTACTGTATTTATTTCCCCAGATTCACTGTAAACATGGACTCCTTTTTGTTGCTTTGCTAGCTTTACAGTATGTGTGCAGCAGGACAGATACTGACACTTTAGCTGAGTTTATTGCTTTGATTTAGGTTGATAGGAGGTCAGTCACAGCTCCTTCCTCTGCTGATGCCCAGTCAGCAGTTACAGGCGGACTCTGAGGTCAGTTTAGTGGAAACAGTCAGCAAGTTAAGCCCTACTTAGATAAAAAAAAAAAAAAAAATCTTTTTATGTTCTTGGTGTGTTTGAACATTTTATTCAACCAACACAACAACAACAATTAATTGATTATGTTTTTAAACTTAATTTTTCCACTACATTTAGACTATCCAGTGACAGAGTAAGTGCCTGCTCCATTCTTTGGTGCGATACTGGTTGACACCGATGTATTATCTGTATTTATTGAGGAGGAACAGATTTCTGTCTCTATTCTCTGACCTCTTTCTTTCTGCCAACCTGCCAAACTGACTCCATTGAACCCTCAAATGTCAAACAAAATCAGCTCATAACCATATACATTAATCTTCTTCTCTTTGATGATGCTGATTCTCTCTGATAAAGTTTGGATTGGTGTCATTACAAAGATAAATGTTATAGCCGTTTATACCTCTCACACTTAGTTTCATTCTCTGCTTGTCGGCCTGTGTGCTGACAGATAGCATGTAGGCTAGCTTAATTACAGTCAGTGGTCAGGAGTGTCACCTTAATGGGTTTACATTAGTGCCTCTTTACCCACTCACTCGCTATTAACTCTGTTAATCTGTGACTTTTCTCTTTGTCCCTGTTCACAGTCACGCACTCACGTTTGTTATCCGCATCTACATTTAAAAAGATGTTAGATTAGTTTTTTAAAGTTTGCCCTGCACAATGACATTCTCTCTCCCCTCGTCTAGTTTTAACCTGCTTTGTACTGAAGGCACTGGTGTATTAAAGTATCTCCTTTTAGTGACCTCTGCCTATACAGTACAGTGTTGTTCAGCTGTCGCCATCAAAATACTCTTCAATGGAAAAGCATGCCTCTTGTGGAACAACTGTAAATATTGGAAGCTGACAGTACTATTGGCAACCAGACATCAAATCCACTCTCACATTTCACCCTCGACTCCCACAGGAATGATTTACTGGGACAACGGGTGTGTTCAGAAAACTTCACAGACCCACGGTAAAATCAAACTGACCCTAGAAGGCTGGTTTGTTCCCCATGTAGGTCAGTGTTTCCTCTGCCGCGCAAGAATCAAGAGGAAACAGCGAGAGCGATAAAGCAGAGACGAGGAAAGAGAAGTCGAGCTGCCAGGGGAGTGAGTTCAGGCTCCCACACTATTGGACAGAATAAATAGATTAAACCTCACACTACCCTCCAATCGCTCTTTGGGAAGCCAGCCAATGCCGAGACCGAGGAGCAGCAGCACTAACCATAACCAGAAGGCAGAGGGGCATAAGACTGCTTACCAGAATAAAAGCATGGCCTCAAGTTGTTCACTGCTCTAAGTTATCTAAACAATTGTAGGACTTCATTGTGGCCTCATTTTGTTTACCAGTGTTTCCATACAAACAGGGCAACTAATTCATAGTTTGGAGA